TCTCTGGTGGGCCTCCCGGACAGGGGCTGGATCCCGGGATCCATAGGGTCCCTTCCAGCTCTGCCGTTTCGAGGTTATAAGGCCCCTAGGGAGCCCCTTCTCTACAAAGGAGTGACCGGAAGGGGGGGGAAAGGGGGAGAGAAAGAAGGGCTCCGTGAGCGTCCCCTCCCTCCCTGCCAGGGGCCGTGGCCGAGGAGGGAGATGAGGCCTTGTCCGGGGCCATTGTTCCCTTCAGAAGAGGACCCTTCCCCACCCCCACCGTTACCTCAGGGGCAACAGCCAGCCCTTGAAAGGTGAGGAGAAAACCTCCTCTTCCCCCCCCCACACACACACCCCGCCCCAGCTGACGCTGTCATGGAAACCAGCGCTTCAGACCCACCGCCCGTCCCCAGAGACTCGCCCGTCCACCTACCTACCTGGTTGGTGGGGCCCAGGCCCGGACGAACCCCGCGTCTCCTGCCCGGCTCTCCTTCCCCCACCTCTTTTACCTCAGCCGCGTCGCCTCGCAGGAGAAGCCAACAGCGCGTGAGCTTTCGCAGGCGGCCCGCAAAGGCCTCCGGGAAATGGAGTCCCGTCGCCAAAGCGACCGAAGGAGGACGACAAGCCGCGAGGGAAAAAAAAAAGAGAGAAACCGGAAATGCCTCCCGCGCTGCCCTTCGGGAATTGGAGTCTTACGTTGAACTACGAACCGGAAGTTCGGGTTGAAGGCTGATGTAAGGGAGGGGAAATAGGGCGGCTCAGCTTGACTTTTCTAGCACCCTCGAGGCTGCCGAAGGTTTCTTCCTTTTCCTTAGGCGAGGGGAAGCCGCCGTTCCTGCCCTGAGTAGGCCGTTACCCCGCTGCTTCCTTCACACCTGCTCGGTTTGGGCTGGAAGTCTCGGAACGCCCGGGTTCTTAAGGGTGCCGCGAAAGACTACGGCTCCCATGAGGCTTCGCGAGGGGCGCCTACGGATGCCTGATGGGGTCAGTCCCTGAGTTCTGACTCCTGGCGTTCATCTTCGCCGCCAGCGTGCCTGCCGGCTGGAAGGATGGGCGATGAAGAGGAGGAGAGGAAGAAGCCGCGGGTGCTGCAGATGGTGAGACCCCCCCTTCCTCTCTTTTGACCAGGGCTCCTGCTTTGTGCCTTTTTTTAAGGACAGACTGAAGTCCAACCGATAAAGCTTTTTTTAAAAAAATCGATTTTTCAGTTGTCATCGTGATTTTAAACCAATTTGATATTTAAGAACTCGTTGAGTTTTAAAATCCACCCTGCCTTTTATAGATTTAATCATATTAGTTATACTGCGTCCTCCGTGATAGCGTAATCCCTCTGAAAAGCAGCTCCAGGTTCTGGTTGAGAAGGCTGCATAATGCCTGCTGGCTTTTCTGCTTAAACGTCCATGGCTAAATCTCAGCTCTTGCTTCTCTCCCACCCTTCTGACAACAGGGATCAGTCAGTTTGGACTCAGGAATTTTGTATAAACCAATCTGGGGAGGTTTGTGTTTTTTTTTGGAGAGGGAATGAAATACAGTGGTGCCTTGCTAGACGATGATAATCTGTTCCACTGAAATCGCTGTTTAGCGAAATCATTGTCTAGCGAAAAACATTTCCCCATTGGAATGCATTGAAACCTGTTTAATGCGTTCCAATGGGGAAGAATCGACGTCTAGCGAAAGCCGCTTTGTGAACTGCCAATCAGCTGTTTAAATCGCTGTCTTGCGAAGCTTAGATCCCGAAAACACCCGTTTTGTGGGTGCGGAGGGAGCTGTCAAAATCGTTGTCTAGTGAAAATCAGTTTGCGAAGCAGGGACCAAACATTGTCCAGCGAAATTCCCCCATAGGAATCACTGTTTTACGGATCGCTATAGCGATCGCAAAAAGTCAATGTCTAGCGAAAAAACTGTCATGCAGGGTAACTGTCTAGCGAGGTGGCACTGTAATTAAAATACTGAGTAGAATAATGTTGAGTGGCAGGAGGTCATCCACTCAGTTGACATCTCTCCGCTTCCTCGACCTTCACCAGCGAAGGCTTCTGAGAATCGGGAACCAGACAACAGCATCTGCAGAAATACAGATTTGCCCAAGCCTGGTTCAGGGGCTTCCGTAGTCACATACCCCCAACAGGAAAAAACATAGCTGCAGGTACAACAGACTCCTTCCTGGGGAGTGTAGCCTGAACCTCACCAGTAGGAACGCAGGCTGTGTGTGTTTAGTCGTTTAGTCGTGTCGTGTCCTTCGTGACCCCATGGACCAGAGCACGCCAGGCCCTCCTGTCTTCAGACTCCTTCCTGGGGAGTGTAGCCTGAACCTCACCAGTAGGAACGCAGGCTGGAGCATGGATATTTAAATGGATGCACTACGGCTTCTGGAATTCTTTAGTTAACATGCACCCATGTGGGATTCTGGGAGTCATAACCCAAAAACAGTAATGGTTTGCAGACCTCAGCTTTGCCTACTCAACGCACTGTAGTTTCTGGAACTGAAATAAGCATTTGCCTCCTTTAAGCTGTTCCAGTCGCTGATGTTATCTTTTATTTCTGTTACCTTAAGCTCTTCTGGTTGCTGATGTTATCTTTTATTTCTGTTACCTCCTGCCCCTTTGCTCTCCCAACAGGTGAGAGCTGAAGGGTCAGATAAGAGCTGTGTCACATTCGTGCTCCATAATGAGGATCACACTCTTGGCAACTCCCTGCGGTATATGATCATGAAAGAGTAAGTGCTGTCCCTGATGTGACCAACCTTGCAACCCTTGTGAGTACAGTTGTGCAACATAGAGCCCACCCAGAGTCAGCTGGGAAGGCGTGCATCGGCTTTTTTTTGCAACAGGCTATTAGTCCTGACCTAGTGTTAGAATTGCCTTTCTTTTTAAGACAAAAGCAGGCCAGAATTCAGCCAGATGGTTCTCCTTGATTTCAAATCCCCGTTTGTCATAACCAAAGAAGGGGCCTTCCCATGATTTCACAGAAGGGGTTCAAAATCTATAGAGGACTTCAAAGCTCCCGTGAGCACCACCTCCTGACAGTGTTTCCTTCAAGACTCTTATCTACACGGCACGCAGGAATACCCCTTTGATATTACTTTAACTGGGATGTCTACAAGCTGAGGAATCCTTGGATCTTCTAGATGGATGATGAAAAATTCTAAGTCTTGCCTCAAACTAAGAATCCCAGGATCCCGTAAAATAGAGGCACGGATGTTAAGGGAGCGTTAAGCTAGCATAACGAGTATAGGTATCCTTGGAGGTCCTTCTCTCCACCGGCGTGATCCTTTTTTTCTTGTTTCTCTGCAGTCCTGAAGTGGAATTCTGTGGCTACAGCATCACCCATCCTTCTGAAAGCAAAATCAACTTCCGTGTCCAGACGAAAGGTGATGTATCCATCTTGGGTCCTGGAGGGTCCACAGAGTGGGCCTGCTGGCTCTTTCTTTTTGCAAGAGGCATTGTCCTGACTGAGATGTAAGATAGAGAGAGGCGGGTTCTGTAATTTCAGAGTTCTCTCTGTCCCATTAGCAGGTGGGGATGGTTGCCTTCTATCTTAAAGCAAGGATTCTTTTCCCCAAATGTAGCAGTGAAGGGGCTGAGCTTTGGATCAGGGCATTTCCAGGATAAATACCTCCCCTGTTGTAAATTAAGTGACCTTAGGCAAGCGCCTCTCTCTCTCTCTCTCTCTCTCTCTCTCTCTGCCTCACTTCTTCTCCCTTTCCCACCTGCAGTGCGGGCAGCGATAATGCTGACTTACATTAACAGGATTGTTATAACCATTGCTGCTACATAATGCATGCAAAGTGCTTTGAATATTTGAAATATAATAATTGTGTGCTGTCAAGTTAATTCTGACTTATGACGACCTTTTCCAGAGTTTTCTAGGTAGAGAATACTCAGACGTGTATTCTATACCTAGAATTCCCTTCTATTTGAATATTTGAAAGTGCTGGGCAGGTACTGCAACCCTGTATTTAACACAACCAGTCGCTATAGGTGATTGAGAATTCCATGAAGTGAGTGAGCAGGATGATGGAGGAGGCATGGATCTTTCTGTCCTATTTGATTTTTGTGCCAGCTGCAGAGAAAGGAAAGCCCTCTCCACCATGATCTACAAGTTACTCTCCCCTTTCTAGCATAATTAAAATTGTTTGGTAGATTAGTGAGTTTTCCAAGGTGCTCATTTACAAGAAAGAAAGGAGATAATGATGCAACATGTATGATTGTGGGGGAAGGAGGAATTCTGAGGAGTTCTTGCCGACATCTCTCTCTCTCTCTCTCTTTCTCTGATAGTCCTTGATCATGCATCACTTGGGCATAGGGGGAAGTATTGATGGGCGAGAAGGTTTTGAATCCTCACAGTCCTGCTTGATCCAGAAATATTTATCTTCTGTGTAGGAGGTGTTCCTGCTGTTGAGACCTTCCAGAAAGGGTTGGAGGAACTTATGGGCGTGTGCCAACATGTGCTGAACACCTTTGAGGTAAGTCTGTACCCTCTCCCTTAGGGTTAGGAATGATTCATATAAGGAGAGGAGTACTTTTGCTTGGAGAAGATGAAAGGGGGGAAAATTTACGTGCTTGGAAATCTTTGAAAGGCTGCTTGGTCTCTTTTGCTCCAACAGAGAGGAAGAAAATAATTCAGTGGACTTGGCAAGGACACAGTTTTTGGCTGCATGTTCAAATACATTTTTAACAGTGCAATAAAAAATCAGAATTCAGTTGTATATTGAACCACTAAAATGTGGGGGCAAAAGGAACTAAGGAGAACTTTATTTGTAGATGAAAATGAGGAATTGTTAATAAGTTGTTAGTTTCCCTGTTATTGGCTGTTGTATGAATGGAAAATAAGCACTGGAAAACAGTGGAGGGTTTAAGTGTAGTATGGGTAGGATGTGATTGATTGGTCTGTTTTTAAAAAAATCAGGCTTGCCAACTGAAAATGGGGAACAGACAGAATAGTAGTATGAATACAAAATCGATGAATTAGCGATTTTTGAATGAATGTGGTGATTTTTTAATGCATGCCTGTCTCTAGTGGAGATGTATTAGCTCAGTGGTTTAGAGCTTTGGTAATAGAGCCACATGGTTGGGAGTTCGATTCCCCCCGGGCCTCCTTGGCAGGGGCTGGACTTGATGGTCTCACAGGGTCCCTTCCAGTTTCTGCAGTTCCAGGGTTCTTCTATCTAAGCCAAGGCCAGTCAGCCATCTGATGGGAGGCTATGATTTGCGCCACTGAGTGGAGTTGGGTTAGATGACCTCAGAGGAACCTTAGTTTAAAACTGATGAATCTTAGTACTACAATATATTTGTGAAGCCTTTCACGGCTGGGATCTAATGGTTGTGGGTTTTTCGGGCTCTTTGGCTGTGTTCTGAAGGTTGCTCTTCCTAACGTTGCGCCAGTCTCTGTGGCCGGCCTCTTCAGAGGACTGGAGTAGGAACTCTGTCCATGCTCTGTCGGAGTTCCTACTCCAGTCCTCTGAAGATGCTGGCCACAGAGACTGGCGAAACGTCAGGAAGAACAACCTTCAGAACATGGCCAAAGAGCCAGAAAAACCCACAACCACCTTAGTACTACAGTTTGAGGAGAAAACAAAGAGGCTGTGTGTTCTCATGTGTTCTGGCTTTTCACGCCTCTAAGTTTGTCACGGGTACCTACCTAGGAAACCCTGAAAAGGGTCACCATGAGTCAGAATGGACGTGATGGCATGCAGTTAGTATTATTATGTATTAGTTGCATTCAAAGAAATTGGTGATGTATCGTTAAAAGTAAATACATATAATAGAAGACCACACACGGAAACTGCTAATGACACCCTGTAAATGTGAAAAAGAAAATGGACGGAGCTTTTTTCTTCTCCCCACCGATCGCCAACACATGAGTTCATTCTATACTTCTGCCTTCCTTCACCCAGTGCCCCGCATACTGGCTGGCATGATGGGACTTGTTGTCACAACACATTTGGAGACCACCAGCTGAGAGAGGTTGCTGGATCCATTGGTGGTGGAAATATGTTGTCTTGAAAGCATGGGCCATCTCCTCCGAAGGATGCTGTAGTTGTGTGGGCAGGGCTGGACAAAATGATCTTTGAGTGTCCTTTTAACTTCCTGGTTCTGTGGCCATGGAATCCCTCACACAGGATCTTTCTTTATTCTGTTGTAGGCCAGCATAGAAGACTACAAGGGCCAGGAGGATGTGAATATGGAGTAACCCTCAGGGCACCGACATGATGGACATCCTTGTTCATATCACATGGCTGGTTTTGGAATGTGACTTTTGGGGAAAGGTTTTGTTATTATTATTTTTAACAGATTTTGTGGGACTTTTCTAATAAACGCCGGATGACTGAATCATCATTCTGTATTCCTTCTCAGTGCATTTCAGAATTATTTCCCCTCCCACTGCCCTGGGAGTGCTGAGAATTGCTGTTTGATGGTCGAAAAATATACTTTCTCTATTTATCTCGAAAGACTATGGTAACGTGCTCTGTATGGAGGACTTGGAACAGCGTCTAGTGTGCCTGAGGAGGCCAATTCGAGAGTGATAATCTCTTCCACACTGAAGACAAATCCAGTCTGTCCCCTGTCCAGCTCCCTGGTTTTGCTGCTTTTGTGACTTCCTCAATAAGTGTGTTTGCAAACCAGGCTTGAAATGTTTTGATTTCATTTTTATTTTCTTGCCCCAGAGATGATATCAATGGAGCGCTATCCAAAATATTTAATAAGTGCAAAGCAGGATGTTTAATAAATCCAAAGCATGATGGCAGTTTAGTGCTTCTAACAGGACAGTCCGTCTTTCAAAACTTTGTTGTGTTAAAAGTGGACATGGATGGGAGAGGAGCGTAGCTTTCTGACAGTTGCAACTTGCCATAAAAAGCGATGCACAAGGCCCTACAAATCGCTTCTCTGGAGCGGATGCTTTGTACCTGTTTTAGGTGCATAAGGATCCAGGTTCAATACTTGGCATCTCCAGGTAAGAGAGAAGAAAGACACCCACCTGCGAGACTGGCTAAGAGTCAGTGTAAACAATTGTGAACCAGACAGAAAGGCTGTCGTCCCTAAAATAGCATGGTCTACAGTGGGGCTTTTAATGACCATAATTGAGTCTCTGAATTCTTGGCGTTTTTTGCTTAATAGGTTTGTTTTTAAAGTGTTAAATGTTTAATTCAGTTAATGTTACTGTTATAGCTTAATTGTTACTATGTAGTGTATTGTGTATTTATTTTTACTTTTAAGTACAATAACAGTGAATATATTTGCACACAGAAAATCCAGGTTAGGCCTAGCTGCATTCACGCTTCCTGTTCCTGCCCCAATGCTAGCTGGAAGCTTTCTTTCTGAGTGGGTAGTTTGGGCAAAGCTGGGCTTAGCTCAGCCTCCAAGCGTAAAAATTTTGATTTTTTTTTCCTCCCAGGTGTTTAAAAGATGTCTGTAAGGTAGGCAGAACTCCCAGGAATGGAGAATTGTGGGATTTGTAGTCCGCAAAATCAAAACAAATCCTAACTCCATTGCCACCTATGCAGAGCACTATACAGTGTAGTCTGTCCCTTATATATTAGCCTCAGGTGATTGTCTGTACAATATCTGTGTTCTCCGGAGACTCACGTGAGACCAGCAAATAAAGTAGAAGTATTAAGTATTTAGTAGATTCCCAAGATCACCCGTCCATAACTTCACTTTGCTATTAATAAGAGCTCCATACCTTTCATGCATGTTTTATTCACACTGAAAGAAAGGCCAAACTTTGATTGTCTCTTTTTTTACACAACAGTTCTTTCCCCTGCTGATCGACAGATATTGTCCCAGGGATGAGTTGGCGACAGGATTTGCTTGCTTTGAATGTTGTTGTGTCGGGAAGGAAATGATCCTGAGGGTTTCTTAAATCCTTCCCTCTGGTTTCTTCGGTGCCTTAACATATACCAGTAATGGAGAGAGGGAGGAGGCAGCCTCGGTGACCCAGTGGAAGGTGAAGGCAGAGCCCATGGGCCGAGCTACATGGTGATTCCTCCAGCCCGTTGTGTGCATCTGGGTGGAGAGCCAAGGAGGATCTTTCCTTGGGGGTTAACCTCGTTGGGGGGCTATCTGGAAGTCACAGACAGGGCTGAAGTTGGCATGGCGGGGCAGAGCCAAGAGTAGGCAGGCCTGCTCCACTATACATACTCTGTCACCCTGAGGTCTCTTACTAGGTAAGGAACAGATTACTTGGGTGGAGAGTGGAACCAGTTATTTGCAGCGGGTTTTTAAAATCATCCTTGAGAATGACCTATGGGCAGGCTGGGTGCATGCAGTCTAGGATCTTTGGGTCACCCATCTGTGGCTTGCAATACCTATAGCTTAGGTGCAGTTTGGTTGGAGATGGGTAACTAGTCTTACATAATTAGTCCAACCCTTTGCTCAGTGTAGTAACAGTCTAAGGATGGGATTTTTAAAAAGAATTTCTTAGACTACGAATCCCATCCTTCCCCATTCCAGGAATTCTATTGGACTTTTGTATGCCTTACAGACAACTCAATGTGGCTCACCTGGGGTGGGGGGGAAAAGGACATCGGCTAGAAGCCTTTGCAACTCAGCTAGGCCTAACTGTGCCCAAATGTCCTCTTCCTGCCCTGGAGCAAACTGGGAGCTTTCTTTCCGAACAGGAAGCTTGAGTGTTTTAATCTAGAAAAGCACTTTCCCAAGTTTTGGCTTGCACCATTACTCAAAAAGAAGATGTTGACACGGTCAAACAACTTTTAATCCTTATCGAAAAGAACAAAATACAACGTACAAGAAAGTCATACTGAGTCACAGAGTCACTTGATTACAAATCCTTTATAAAACATTCAGAAATAGGACTTCCGACAGGAGACGCAATTGTGGCAGTGTCGACAAGCTGGAGACTTGGTCACATTTAGGAAGGGTCGGTGCGCAACTCATGGTTCACTGTCCAGAGTGAGAAATGCTCTGTTGCCATCCTGGAGACCAGCCTGATGCAACACAGTACTTTCCAGGTGGTCGGATCACAACTCCTGTCGCCCCAGCCAGCACGGCCCATGGGTGGCACAGGTGATGGAGGTTGCAGTCAACCTCTGTGGAGGGCACAGTATTTCTTCTAGCTGGCCTAGTGAGAAACGAGCACAATCTTCCGTTGCCTATCAGAGACTTAGAGTGGACTGATATCACAATTCTGCACATGTTTATTCAGAAGTGAATCTCATTGGGGCTCCTGGGGGAGTCTTTCTCAGTTAGTGGCTCCAGGGTTGTAACCGTCATCTTAGAGGCATGATTTCATGGTTTCACCAGCTCTCCAGAGGGGTTGGTGCTCTCTACAATATATACCTCACACGGGGCAGCAGGATTTTTCTCCTGCCAACCTAGCAGTTTGAAAGCATGCAAATGCGAGTAGATAAATAGGTACCACCTTGGTGGGAAGGTCCGTGTCTAGCTGCACTGGCCACCTGACCACAGAAACTGTCTTCGGACAAACGCTGGCTCTACAGCTTGGAGACGGGGATGAGCACCGTGCCTTAGAGTTGGACACAACTGGACTAAAACTCAAGGGGAACCTTTAACCTTACAATATATACATTTCATACATGCGATAGAGAAGAAATAACATGTTGGCAAAAGCCAAAGTAAATCAAGGAGATTTGATGGGGCACTAGCGAAATATTCTAGCACAGAGGTCCAGGGGGGAAAAGGCAAGCAGGCTGTCGGAGAAAAATGGGCAGAAGTCCATGGTGCTGGAAGGATGTCCAAGGGGAAGGATATGTGCTGCCATCTTAAGACCGTAGATTCATTTAGGCTTTTGGTATTGTGTCCTCGGCAGAAATGAAAACCTCCAAATGGCAGCAATGGCCTGAATACCCCTCTCAGTGGCTGTGGCCCACTGGCGGTGTCGTCAGGCGCTTTGGTCTAGCAGGCAGATTAGCTGGTTCATCTTGTGTTCCCTTGTATTGTGTGAGAAGGAAAAGGGTTGTGTCCTTGTTCCTGCCCTCTGGGACTGCAAAATCTATCCGCCCTAATCAGGCTGTGACTGATAGGAGCTGGAGTCTCCAAAATCTAGAAAGCCCCAAGTTCTGGGGAAGCATAAATGCCATTACCTCCAGATGTGTTAAGACTACAACTCCCAGAATCCCTGGGCTATGTGGTCAACGAGAAAGGCCTGTGGGAGCTGCAGGCCAAAGCATCAGAAGTGGCAAACATTTTTCCACCTATGCTCTTGGCTTTTTCCAGACATCGACCCCAAACACCATAACTATATCACTGCCCAGTTACAACCGGAGGGTTGATGGAACATTAGGGGGCAAATACAGTGTTTTGTAAAGGGCCAACTGGCTGGGTTTGCCAAATTATACAGGCTGTTCTACTTTGCATTTTCATCTCATCATTGCATTGTAATTTGTCAGAAATCGGTCGATTTTCCTTTCTTTTTCTATGGTGCCATCATTTCATGAATCTTATTCCCTGTTTATCTGCTGGGGTTTAAATAACTTTTCAAAATTCATGGCACTTGTGGAGAGCCTCAGAGCATCTCCGGTGACAGCGTTTGCCCTCTGAGGCAAATCAAGGGCCTCGTTTTCAGAAGACCGAAGGGTGCTTTGATAGCCCTTTCCAAATTCTTGAAAGGCTGTCCTAGAGAGGAGGGCCGGCAACTGTTCTCGACCGTCCCAGACTGCAGGACATGAAATAATTTCAGCTACAATATGCTCACTTTTTATGGACTCCACTCTTTGGCTTTGTGTCCCTGCGCACTCTGATGACATGTCCTCTGAGAACTTCTTCACAACTGGATTTGAACCCAAAACAGTGTCCCACTATTGCTTTCGCGCAGGGGCTCCTGATCTCTGCCGAAGAAAAAGAAGGCCTAAATGATGCTCCCCATGATGATGGATGTCTTGAGGAGGGCTAGAATCAAAGATAACAACCACCCTTGGTGGTTCTTGAGGGAGGTTTGGTCTGTTCACCAGCAGGTCTTCTGAAATGCTCAGCTGCTTAGAGGAAATAGGGGGCATGGGGGGTGGGGGAATTACCCTCCAGGGTAACATTAAAGGATGAGGAAGAGGAGAAGGAATAGCTGGTGAGCTGGCAGTCTTTATAAAGTTGCCCCCAAAGAGAGGAGATTCCCGGGAGGGGGAAGGCACAGAAAGCAGAGCGATTGAGACGAAGCTCCAGAAAAGCCACCGGAAACGTGATGAGGTTGAGGGTCATCTTGGGTGAAGCTTTCCGTCGGGGGGGGGGGTTTATCCACATTTCTAAGAAGAACTGTACTTGTTACTCAGGTGGGAGCTGCTCCTGTCCAGGCCCAAATCCTGCCCTTTGGCTTTCCACTTCCCGAGGGAAGCTTTATCATCCGTTGGCACCATGCCAAGGGTGGGCGTTTGGCACCAGCAGCAAAGGCAAGACTGTGGGAAAGAAACCAGAAGAGGACAAGAAAGAGAAAGAGAGGGAGAGAGAGATGTTCAGGGCCTCCAGTCTTTGGTGCAGTCGCAGAACGAGGATAATTTTTTTTTGTCAAGGATCCCCCCCCCCCAGTGTTCAGGGCCTCCGGTCTTCGGTGCAGTCGCAGAACGAGGATAAGCCCCCCCCCAGCCCAGGGAGAAATTGGGGGGAACTGGATCCACAGGTATGCCAAGATGGAACCCCAAATTCCTCTCTTACCTGAAAGCAGTTCTTGAATTTCTGGCTGACAAAGTAGAGAGCCACAGGGTTAATGCAGGAGTTGAGCGAGGCCATGTTAATGCCAAAGTAGTCCATGACCAGAAGGAAGCTGGGGGTGGAAAGAGAAAGCGGGAATATTCCATTGGAATGGAGTGGCCCAAAATACAGAGCTGGGTTTTAGGAGTGGAAAGGGGCCAATTGTGATCGGTGGCAGATGAAGGGAAAGGCCATTCCGCCTCCTTTTCTAGTCTCCCTGTATCTCCTCCTACTATCCTCTCTCTCTCTCTCTCTCTCTCACTCACTCACTCACTCACTCACTCACTCACTCACTCACTCACTTCAAGAACCAGCAGTTTCCTTCACTCACTCACTCACTCACTCACTCACTCACTCACTCACTTCAAGAACCAGCAGTTTCCTTTCTCCAAATGGCCTTGACAGAGGCACGTGAGCCCAGAAGAGAGTTGGGGTTCAAGGCCCTGGCCAGGACTGTAGAGTCATTCCGCAGGGCATTTGAATGTACAGTGGTACCTCACTAGATGACAACCCCACTGTACGATGAAAGCGCATGATGATGACTTTTTGCGATCGCTATAGCCGCTTGGAACCAGCAGTTTCCTTTCTCCAAATGGCCTTGACAGAGGCACGTGAGCCCAGAAGAGAGTTGGGGTTCAAGGCCCTGGCCAGGACTGTAGAGTCATTCCGCAGGGCATTTGAATGTACAGTGGTACCTCACTAGATGACAACCCCACTGTACGATGAAAGCGCATGATGATGACTTTTTGCGATCGCTATAGCCGCTTGACGATGATTTGGTCCGTGCTTCCCGGACCGTTTATTCGGAAGACGGCAATTTTTTCCCGACAATCGTTGGCTTCCTAAAATGGCTGCCCTGTGTTTTCCGGACCCATGCTTTGCAGGACAGTCATTTTAACAGCTGATCGGCGCTCGCAAAACGGCTGCCCGATGGGCGATCTTCGCTGGATGACGAGGTATTTTCCCCATTGGAATGCATTAAACGGGTTTCAATGCATTCCAATGGGGAAAGGCTTTTCGCAAGACGACGATTTTGCTTAACAGCGATTTTCCCGGAACAGATTATCGTCGTCATGCGGGGCACCACTGTAAAGGCTAGAAGGAATAAGTGAGGAAGGCGAGATGCCCTGAAAAGGATTCGGGTTGACCCTAAAAGAGGGTTTGACCCTAAAAGAGACTGACATCCTCTTCCTGCAAGTGGTAGTCACAAGGCAGTAAACCAGCACTACCTAAAGGAAACATATGTTGCAGCCTTGTGCATGCAGAATCCCTGTATCCCAGAGTGATTTTTTAACCTATGAAGTGCAAGTCACTGCAAGACTTAAGCTATTTTCTTAATAGACTTCAGTGTTTCTCTGAGCAGTTGTTGTCTGTAACTGATGTTTTGCTATCTATAAATTAACCAAATTCTCCAAGAGATCTCACCTAAGCAGCTCACATCGGTCAGCATCCCTCGGGTTGTAGATGGTCTTTTTGAGGATCCTGCTCAGATGTAGAGGTAGCCAACAGAGAGCAAAGATCACCACCAGGCAGAACACCGTTTTGGCCACTTCGCGGCGCTGGAACACACAAGTCCATCCAACGAGGTTAATGAACGAAAGGGGCAGGAAAAGAAAAACACCATGCTAGAGATCCAGTTGTTCATCACAGCTAGAACAGATCCATTGGTATGAACTGGATTGCTCATTGTTGACCTGATAAGTCACATGAAAGGGAGTAGCGGTTGGGTAATTCAATGACTTAAGCTTTTGAGTCATGTATCAGAGAGGGTCAGCCTCTCTCCCTACCTCCCCTCCATTCCCCTCGTTCCTGCTATTTCATGTCTCCCCTTCTTGGCTGTCCTGTAACGACCTGCAATGAAAATTAAAATCGGAGCAAGAATAAATCATGCAATATTGCAGACACATTTTGGACGATGGTGGGTGACAGAATTATTTAAAGCCAATGCTCATGGAATCCCCAATTCTGCTGGACCCACAAATGAAGGATGAAAGACAACTCCAGTGGCTGGAGAAACAAAGTGCCTTACAGAAAAAACACAATCTGCAGGCGATTTTTGCGTGTTTTCTGCTGAGCAGAAAAGTCTTTCCTGGTATAAGTGTAGAGTCATGTACCGTTGTACTGCCGGGCAGGGAGTGTCGTTATAGAAGCAGTGGGAAGATCTTCATGGAGACCACAATTTGCACAAAGGCAATGCCTGTGGAACTTTCCCACTTCCCTAAAGGACTCCCTGGCTCAATCGTGAACCTTTCCCAGAATCCCTCAGCCAGCATCCCTGGCCCTCGGACAGACTGGCTTGGAGATTTGGGGAGCTGGTTCAAAAAAAAGTAACTTCCCCAAGCTGTGGTCAGAGTAGACAGCAGTGGGCTAGACAAAGCAAAAGTCTGATCCGCCTGGAAAGAGTCACGCGTTCTAGGGGATTGGTAACCAAGGCCTGTGAGGAAAGACTGAAAGAACTGGGCATATTTAGTCTTGAGAAAAAAAGACAAGAGGGGAGATTGGATAGCACTTTTCAAATACAGTGGTGCCTCGCTAGACAGTTACCCCCGCATGACAGTTTTTTCGCTAGACATTGACTTTTTGCGATCGCTATAGTGATTTGCAAAACAGTGGTTCCTATGGGGGAATTTCGCTGGACAATGTTTGTTCCCTGCTTTGGAAACCGATTTTCGCTAGACGACAATTTTGACAGCTCCCTCCGCACTCACAAAATGGGTGTTTTCGGGACCTAAGCTTCGCAAGACAGCTGATCGGCGGTTCACAAAGCGGCTTTCCTATGGCCGATCTTCGCTAGGCAATGACGATTCTTTCCCATTGGAACGCATTAAACAGGTTTCAATGCATTCCAATGGGGAAATGCTTTTTGCTAGATGATGATTTCGCTAAACAGCGATTTCAGTGGAACGGATTATCATCGTCTAGCGAGACACCACTGTATGTGAAAGGTAGTCGTATGAAGAGGGGCAGGATCTCGATCATCCCAGAGTGCAGGACACGTAATAATGGGCTCAAGATACAGGAAGCCAGATTTTGGCTGAATATCAGGTAAAACTTCTTTAACAGCACAACAATGGAACCAATAACATCAGGAGATAGTGAGCGCTCCAAACGCTGGGGGCATTGAAGAGAAAATTGGACCCCTTTCTGTCAGTTCTTCTTTGAATTGAATTCCTGCCTTGAGCGGGGGGAGGGGGGTTTGAACTCGACGGCCTTAGAAGCCCCTTCCAACTCCATGATTCTATGATGTCGGTTCCTCAATAACTGGCCAAGGAAGAAAGATGGGTTGATAGCCAGTGGGCCTCACCCGCTTCATGTGGTCGTTGAGCGCTATCCTCATGCCATTCCGCTTGCTGAGCATCTCGCACGACATGAGGGAATAGAAGACACCCGTGCAGGCCAGAGGCAAGCAGAAGTAGAAGCCGAAGAGCCACCAGTCCTTCACATCCTTGTAGAACTGGGGACAGAAAGAAAAGGGAGTAAGAACAGCTGGCTTTGCCTTTTAGGGAGGTGTTTGCGTGTGAGAGAGGACAGTTCCATTTGCATTGATTGCTTACATCTTTCCCCCAAGGAGAGTGGTTGCCTAAGTTTTCTCACTTCCTGAAGAAGTGCTCCTACCACTTCTTTCTGCCCTGGGAGTTCCTTTGTTCTCTCACCTCCTGTTTTGTTCTTGGAGCAAGACAGAGGGTGGGTAGGCTTCCCTGGGGAGGAACATGAGCTGTACAATGTGGTCGCTGCTGCCTTCGCTCTGAGCCAACCAGGGCTAAAGGCCTGGTGCTCCACCATCCAATCGTCAAGAATCCCAGAAACGGAACCATCGGTCTAACAACATTTCTATGGCAGTCGTCTCAACCTCCCTTGACCCGTCTCAGCATCACAAAGAGGATGAACCAGGTGAGCCATCAGTATGACTGAGGACAGTACCTCACCCTCTTTTAGTCCTCTAGATCTTTTAGGCTTTCGTTTCAGAAGCTCCAGTCAACATAAGCAATGGTCAAGAATTCAAGCCATTGAAACCACTGGTCTAGCAACATTTTTATGGGTGTGAAGATGTATGGGGCGGGCTCAGCTGACCTCTCAGCTTCTATGGAAGCAGAAAAGGACAAGGGGTAGATCTTTCTACTTTACGGGTTTATCTTCCAGACTCTCTTCCCTGGACCCTTCCAGGAATAAAAGCAGCAAACATCAGTCATGTGAAAGATGATGGACATTTTCTAGCATACAGGAAGTTATCATAACCCAACCCTCTTAGTAGGGAACTTGGTTCTGAGGATTTTGGAAGAGATGTGGTCCCTATTGACATCACATCATCACTCTACCCATGGGGCCTTTTTTCTTCCAAAGGCCTGGTCCTTTCCCCTGGAACTTCATAGGAGGCCACTTTTCTTTCTCTTTCTCTGTTCCCCTCTCAATCTTGTTCAGTTTTTGTTCTTCATTGAAAGAGGTTCTGGTTCTTGGGAGCATTGTTCTGATTTCCAGCGGCTCTCAAGGCTGTTGGCTAGAAACGAGTATGAACTGCTGAACTGGTTTGTCCTTCATCTGAATATGTTTTTCGTTGCTTCCCAAGCCTGCCTCCTTTGGTGACTGCCCTCTCAGGGGTAGCGCCCAGAGGAGGCGTGGCAGGGAAGCCTCTGAGTGGGCGCCCAACAGAGGAGGCAGGGATGGGAAGCGCCGAACACCTGTTTGGACAAACTACACGAATCACGAGTTCAGCAGTTCATGCTCATCTCAACTGTTGGTTGGTCAACCCTACTCTTACCCTATTCTACCCAGGTGAGAACGCACCATCATGAAGCCATATGGTTGCTCAGGAGCCAACATGCAGACCCAAAGCATCTGTTCACGGTAATTCAGCTTCACCAGGTTAAAGGCCACGGCTTCAGGGATGGCAAGGATGATGGCCACCGCCCAGATGAGGGTCACCTCGACCGCCTTCCACATGGGGATTCCAATCCCTTGGATCCGGCTCCAAGAGGCTACAGCTCGGTACCTGCCAGGAACACCGCAAGAGGGATAGACACAAGAGATGAAGTGTACAAAGCATGGTTCATTTTTACGCACATCTGGGCAGGAGCCACCCCCAGTACAACTGCTTCCTTCAGCATAGCTTGTTTATGGGTTAAGATTTGTGGCACAGGGGTTAAAACTGCAGTACTGCGGTCAAGACTCTGCTCAGAAACTGAGTCCAATCCAGATGGGCTCAGGGAGCTACCTCAAAGTTGACTCAGTCTTCCATCTTTCTGAGGTTCTGAGCTCCACTGGGTTGGGGGCAATGTGCAACCGGCATAATTAACTTTCAAACCACCCAGAGAGTGCTTTAAACACTACGGGGCAATATCTATAAGCCACCACACTTTCCTTCTTTTTGCTTTTTAAGTGTTAAACAAACACTAAAAGAGGGCCGCCATCGGGACAGACGTGGGATGGTCAGCTTATCAGCAAACTTCGTTACTGGGGCAATAAAGGTCGGAGATTACCTGTCTATACTGAGAGCACAGAGGCTGAGAACGGTGATGCCCACGGAAGCTTTTTGAACAAAGGGCACAAGTTTGCAGACCTGCACGCCGAAAGGCCAATCCTCTGCCAGGAGCTGAGGAAGGGAAACATAGTGTTAGCAGACCATCTCATGGAGAAACTCAAAATGAAGGACAATTATCCTTTGCGTCTCCTTTCAAGATTAAACATCTCTGGCTGAGTTTTCTTGCTTCCCTGCATCCTTTTCTTCCCTTGCATGTTGTGCGTTTTATTGTTTTTAAGATTGCCAAATCTAAAGGCAAAGAGTTAGTTTTTTAAAAAATCCCGATACAGTAGCTGCTCTAGTTCCTCTGCCCCTTCGAAATCCAGCTGGTACTTGTAGGAGTTCCACATACTGCTGAAGACTACCTTGTAGGATTTTGAGCATAACCTTGCTAGCGTGTGAAATGAGAGCAATTGTACGGTAGTTGGAGCATTCTTTGGCACTGCCCTCCTTTGGGATTGGGATGTAGACTGATCTTTTCCAATCCTCTGGCCACTGCTGAGTTTTCCATTGATGATGATAAAAAAAAGCACACTGGTCCTTTGATATTGGGCTGTGGCACCAGGGTGTGTGACATGATCTTTAGCCTGGTTTGTTCCTTTTCTTTAAACCTAGTCAACAAGCTGCAGAAGGTGGGGGCTGTAGTCTCGCACATCTAGGAGCATTGGGTTTGTGAAGGTTGTTCTAACCATTATGCCATTCTGCATATATGGAGTCCCCTTTCCTGAAAAATTAATCTTGCTGCTGCTTGGTCAGTGTTCCACCTTCCGGGTGGTTACACAAAATATCTACATGTTGCATTCAGGACATGTCCAGTTTTCACTCATCAATGAAAAATAGAAAACAGTTTCTAAATCTTAGCTAAATAAACTTTAGGAACAAAGCATGATGTAAGCAAAGAATCCCAGTTTTAAAAACATCTAGTTACATTTACCAAAAGTCTTCATGTGTGGTTGACAGTGATTTGATGAGTTCAGGAAAAACTCACCTTCCACCAAACATTTAAATTATACTACTTAGTCAACTCTGTAGGAAGTCTAATTATTAGACTGGTTTACTTTGGATCAGGCTGGACAGTTTTATTTTGGGTCATGCTAACATAATTGGATTACATGCATTTTTCAAAAGCATTAAAACTGGGTTAATGCACCATTAAGAGGAGCTGAAGTGTGTAACAATCAGGATAATTCTATAAATACCCAGAACCGTCTTTCCTCGTTGTGTTATATAACAACTTCTCAAGTTTGCACAGTGTTTGGTGTTTTGTTTTGTTTTTTTACATCAAATACTAAGATCTGGAAGCTTGATTGAGCAGTTAAAGATTAATTTACAAAGGCTAACACAGCTTTGTAGCTTTTGGTCTCTTGCCTTGGGACAGGAAGGAAGACAAAGCTTTCAAATTCATTTAAACTGTTGCTAACTGACATACAGCATCAGCCATGCTTTGACCAGGCTTTAAAATATCCTTTCAAAGTATCATTGGTATGTTTGCAACACTTAAAAAGAAATGCAAACATTCATTTTCCCTCCCTTCCAAAGGCAGGTGGAAAGGAAACTTTCCATTTCTCAAGATCATCAAGCGGCTTCAATAAAGGGCTGGCCAGCCAGCCACTTAACTATCATGAGAAATCTTTCCCCTTAAAAGAAAAGAAGATCTTGATCGTGCTAAACAGGGATACTTGAGATGCCGTGTGGTCAATTCCTGCATGTGGATGCAAGGATCACCTTGAAGCAACTCTGTTAAGCACAATCCAGACCAGGAATATTCAGCCATCTAGTTGCGTCCTCTGTTTCCCTGCATTCAGCCTGTTGCCTAAAACAGAGTGGAAGGGAAATCATGTTAAGTTGCCATCCCATTCCAGGCATGTCCGTACTTCTACTGGTCATGAGATCAGTGACAGGATGGGGACTCTGCCAACATCGGTGGGGTGGGGACATTTATGTGATTTTTCTTCTGCTCTGGTTTTGAAATGAAACTTTTGAGACATTCTTATGGGGTTTTGCTGTATGGCGGCTATCTTACTGTTTTCTATTCTGTATTGTGACATGTTTCTGTTTCCCTTAAGGGAAAGCAGTAGACAGGCCAAAGATCCCCCGGCCCAGCATTCTCCAAGGTGGTACTCTCTCCATCTTTGAGGCTCAAACTCTAGACCCAGCATGGTGGACAGTCAGGATTGTGGGAGTTATTTGAGGAAGGCTGAAAATCTCATGTACAGTGGTGCCTCACTTAACGAGCGCCCCGTTGAGCTATTAAATCGCTTAACGAGGGGCTCTGGGCCATCGCTGGAGCATTCGCTCAGCGATGGCCCCTATG